TGTATATATTTTATTATATTTATTTAAAAATTAATTAAAAAAAATACATTATGTTATTCATTTAAAAAGATATTTATCATTATTTAAATTCATTTTTTATGATTTATTATACTATATAGATAACGGAATTCCGTTACCATAATTCAGTACTTACTGCATGTATCTATTGAATCATCATATAATATTATTTTCTATTTTTGCGAATAACTAAAATATAAAAATAATTATGAATAACACTGACGTCAATAATTAATAATACATTATGTAGGTATAAAAACATCGTGACCTTAAATTGCCTACACAAAGCGCCGTATAATCATTATACTAAAACGATTATCGTTATACTATATATTTAAATATATATTATAAATAAGTTTCTGTTTAGAGTTGAAATTTAAGGAGCTAGGCAGAATTCTGGTACTATAGCATGGTATTGTTCAATAGTTTGATAATATTAGTATTACATTTCGTTGTTACTGTGGTATGAAAGGTTTTTTATAAGACTAGTAAGTATTTGTGTAGTAAATAATATACAATAATGTATTTAAAATAGAATTTCAACAGACAAGGTAACTAGGATCAATGATATGAAACGGATTTCGGTGTTAAAATAAAATTTCAAAAGAAATGTAATACATAGTAACCGAAAAAAGGTACATTCACGGTTATTGTTACAGGTAAATGTGTATAGAAACAGTGAATTTTTAAATGAAGATAAATTTTCCCAAAAAAAAAAAAATAAAAAATGTTGTTGGTACTAATTAGTACAGCTGAAAATTATGCCATCAATAAAATATTTTAATTCACTGTACTGCGCATTTTTATACACCTAACTTTAGTGTAATAAATTAAAAATGTAACCGGAAAAATATTCAAGAGAATATTATTATCAATTAAAAAGATTAATAACCTTTTATTGGTATTGTAGCGCGCTCGAATTTGTATTTTCACAAATATTTTTTATAAACTGTTCGGTAGGGTGTATATACTTGAATATTGATATAATTCACGTTGGTTAGGATATTGCATTTTCAAAGTACTATAATTAAAGTAGTTGTACGCTTTCATCTCTGGTCCTAGTATTGGATTGAGGTAGTGACTGAGAAGAGAGCGTTGGTATATTGAAATCGTTATTATAATTTATAATTTTATTTACAACAAAGGTTCTTTAGCGACGACTGAATTATATTTCTTATACACGTGCAGAATATAAACAGCAAACACCACTTATTGTTTAAAAACCAAAGTTTACGATTTATGATTTTGATTAACTCTTATAATGGTTTTCTACTTTTTTAAATGTCTATTAAAATTTAAAGTTTTTTTCTGTACGATAAAAATACACTTTATGCTTTCCACTGTTATATTTTAATTTGAAATTTGTTATTTTATCAAGAACGAACATTGACTAATAATTTCATAATTAAATCAATAGTTTTAGAGGAATATTCTACTCCAGAATATAGAAAAAAATAAAATTGTGTTATGCATATAAAGAAAGAATAAAAATATAGAAAATATTATATAGATATGTATTAAAAATAAATAATCTTATATCACTGCAGTTGGTAGGCATAATAAAATACAAAATTATAATATTTATGTAATAAAGAATGCGTGTTGAGGGTAAATATAATTTTTAGGTATTTCATTTGTTGTAAAATGAAACATGAAAATGATTAAAAACAACCTTCGCTTGATTAATATGAAGAAAATTCATGGAAAAACCCCATGTTAAGCAAATAACGAGATTCTGCACGTTTAGCTTGCATAAAATAATAATAATAATCAGCCTTAATCCACCAATTACATTGGAAATTAAATTTAAAAGCAAACCGAACGTCTCAATATTTTCCAAACGGTTTTTATGGGAATTGTTATCTAAAATACTGTTTTTTTTTTTATTTTGAATATAATTTTTCGGTATACCTAATTATTGCGACCTTGTCCACCATAAATTACAATTTTTTAATTAAGATTATCAGATGATTAGCTTTTGTTCTGATTATTTTGCCAAAAATATCGTTTTGTACTAAATAACAATATGTTAAATTTAAAAAATAAAAATAATATTTTGTTCAACAATTAATGATAAAAGCAGTGGCACTGAAGTTCTATGTTTTAAATACGGACAAGCTTACAAAATTGTAAATTTATATTTCATGACCTCATATGCTTGGCATTGGATTATATTTGAAGTAGTTATATAATAATTTATGAACTTAATTAAACAATCAAATAGTTTTTATAAACATAAACCTTCATTATTATTATTATTTGTTTAGTAACTGTTACTACAATGACTAATTTTATATTTTGATACTATGTAAAGTATAGCTATATTATGTATTACACAATAAATGTTATTATTGCAAACCATAATCATATATTTAAATATTTTAATGGAACCAATACATACCAATGGAAAGTGTACTAAAAAATGACACATTAAAATTTCAAACTTTATTTCACCATAATATATTATTAATCACTTTTCTTCTCGAAAATGTTTTTAGTGTTTTTGATTGTTTCGATATGTTGGTAGTGTTCAGATTTAATAAGTTTCTGAGTAAATTCGCTGAGTTGAGTTTCAAAATATGTTCACAATAATTATGTTCTGCGTGGGGTAATTGAAAAACTTTCCTCCATTAATTTAAATATTAAATTATTATTTAAGATCTTGCTGAGTTTGCACTATATTATTATATTGACATATGAAATATATTTCGAAGATCTGTTGATTATTGCAGATGTAACTGTTTGAATTATAAACGTATCATATTATATTTATAATAAATTGCATATTTTGAAACTCTACGCATGTATTGAATATTTTGTCATTCGCGGCTAATATATTATATATTTGGGTTAAAATATTACCTAGATTTTTTGTTTTTGTAGTTTGCTATACATTTATAATATTTATCATAATACTCATAAATATTGTAAGACAAAAAATAAATATTTATAATTAGTAATAAGTATATATTGATAAATTTACCTTTTATGTTATATATGCAAGGATTAAATTGATAAAAAAAACTTTGTAAATATTTTTATTTAATTTCAAGTCTATAAAAATTAAAAATATAAATGTATTATTGTATAAATATTATAAGATTTTTTGCCCAAAATTGTTTCACCGCAAAATAGTTATAAAATATAAAGAATTTCAACAAGTGATGATTAGATGCTTTATATTTTAAACTTTTAAAGTGCATACAAACACTCTTAGACCTAGTATTTTATGTAGAATTAAAATCCGTTGTCTCTCATAATTTTTTTATTGAAAACATTATCGTTGGTATTATAAGTAAAATACACATGCAGTGATAAAAACATTTTAAATAATTTTGTTGTACCTAAGCTAACGGTAAATATAAGTCTACTCGAAAATGTTATTTTTTCAAGTAAAATTTTTTTTTATATTAACCGATTGAATCAATAAAAATAATCCTTTATTGTTCGCTGTACAGTGTTTTACACAAAACATTAGTAGGTAATTGAAAAAAATAGTTATTATTTTCAATATTGGCAATGACAGGCAGGAACAGAGATTAAAATTCTTAAACCAAAATTCTGTAAAGTATGCAATACACTTTAAATCATATTTCTAAAGATAGAAAAATACATTTTTCATGATATAGTATACACTACACATCCCATGAAAGGGCGTAGTCAGATTCATCATTTTGTAAATAATTATGGCACTGCTTGATCTACCTATGTACGTTATTTGGCGTGGCACCATTTTTCTTTAAAAAACAGAGTGTTAGTATCCATTTTCCTCTAAATATTAAAAAAAAAAATATTATAAAAATTACTGATATTTTAGTCACCACCAACAACCAAGTGATAACCGTTATATTTTTGTGTAATGTATTTATGTAATATTAAGATAGAGTAAGGCACTTATAAAAGAGGATAATCTATATCTATTAACTAATTAATTCTATGATATGGGCATATGTTTGTCATATTCTTTATCAGTTATCATCGATTCTTATTATGGTTTTTGTGGTTAAATGACTTATATATATAAATAAATAAATAGGCTCTTAAATTATTTAAATAAAAATCTATTTATTGTAAAATAAGAAGCATTCATACTTTAAAAAACCAGAAAGATTACAGATAAAACTAACGATATGGAGTAATCGACAATACAACTATTATATTGCAAAACAAAGAAATTTCTAAGTAGGTAACTAAAAAAAGTAAAATAATTATTTATTTGTCTAAAAAAATAATTTTTATTCGCGGTATCTTATTATTGGAGTAACTATGATTATGTTTACTAGTTATAGAAACTTACTAATCAAACCTTTTTATTTTTATTTTTCTGAGATAATTGTAATTTTAAACGAAATATCTCTATTTGTCCATCATTGGTGCATAATATGTTGATTAATGAATTGTTGCAGATGTATAAAAATATAATTGATTTAGAGATGGAAAAAATGTACTTATACTCATAAAAACCGTCTATACCGATAATGGTCTATTCACACCACCGTATGTCGCGGTATAAGGAAATATCTATTTATAATTTAACAGATCGGGCAAAACGTGCAGTGATAATAAGTACATACTATTTAAACATAATTACACATCGTTTATACGTGGAAATGAACAATTATAAGTTTAAAACGGGGGTAAATGTGACGAAGACGAACTGAATAATAATAATAATACATATTTCAAACACCGCTAACACGAATATATGGGCTGCATATAAGGTGCCTGCTGATATAATATTATACATTTATATAGTTGTCGTCGTTCACCCATAGCCGAAGTACAGGTATCTAGTGATGCAGTTTCAAGGGAGCCATTTACCCGCGCAAAAACAGACACTTTTGCACTGCTCGACGGGTGAACGTGTGGAGGCGTCACACCACACGACTAGCCGGCGCGCGGTGGCGGCGGCGGCGACTATGGTGGCTGTCCGCTTTTTACTCGCGTTCACTACCCCCGGGAAACAGTAGTGTAGCCGACCATACCACGAGCTGGACGTTCCGAGCGTGTATTATAATATAATATACATAGTGTGCGTGCACCGACTTTGGATTTCGATCAAATTTTTTTTCTACCCTCGTTAACACCTGTAGCACGGTATTATCTGCAGAGGTCGGCGACACATATACGCATTTAAAAACATTACACCATACACGTAGTCATCAGTGAACCGGTATGTATAGTGCGTAAATTATTACTATCATCATCAATGTTGTTATTATATTAACGTTATTGAATCTATTAACAAAATATTGATTGATATTAGTTTTGTGTTTTGATTCAATCATTGCGTACTTATCACTTGCTTATGGTTGTGCGTAGGCTAGTCATCGGTAGGAATGATGATTAAAAATTATATCGAAATTTGAAAATATTTTTCATAGATAGGTGTATAGATTGATTATTTTTTGATACATTGTACTTACTTATAAAAGAAAAAAAAAGAAGAAAAGAAAAGATTTTAAATGAAATATTTAAACCCTGCTATATTCCTGCAAGGACGCGTATTAATAAAATTCCATCTGTAAGTAAGATAAATCCTAAAGGATTCACGTTTTTGATAGTTTGGGATGACGCTTAAAACGCTGGAGTATTTCTAACGCGTTTCTGTTGTTCTCGCTAGTCACCTGCACTACTTTGTATATATATGTAATTTCGTTTAAATTCTTCAATTTTTTTATGTATTTGCAACACTATGTATATAACTTTAGGTATAACTCTAACGGTTATACATGAACGTGACTGGTAACTGTAATGTACTTACGCTTGAGAGAAGTTTAAATAATATAACATAAATAGCAAGGCAAAGCAAGTTCCCAGCAATCCAGCAATCAAAAATCGAAACAAACTGGTGGGTTAGGGGCTGTAGCCAAAGGGTGTTTGTAGTATTGGAGTAACAGAGTAAATAGAACAATTTTAGACTTTGGCGCTAGCTTTCTATAAAACAAAATAACTTGAGTTATGGTAATACTAAGTGATTCAATTATGTACAGACAGGTAGCCCGGGTAAGTAATTTATGTGCTGTATATATTAATGAACTGTAATGGTGTAATGTTATTATATTCAATTTTATATACATTTCCGCTTATACTTACTTATTATGAAACCTATACATCAATTTAACAATAGGTATAAATAGGTGGAAATTGAATTAACAATTATATAATTAATAAATGACTTATAATGTGATAAAGAATAAATAATAATAATGTTTAAAGCAGTATGAACTTATTTTAATTGTTGTTGTTAGTATGAGATCATAATAGTTTTTATTCAGTTCTTAAAATTTAAAAATAATATTAAAGTTGACTACCGAACAACTTAATCAATTAGATTTATATATATTATGTAGTAATAATATCATTTATAGGACTTATAGAAATATATTAAAGTATAGAATTATATTATATATTTAATAAAATAAATAAGTGTCATCGTATTTTATATCTAAATATATTCTATATTTAACAATAAATAATTAAAATCAATTATATTATTATTGTATAAATTCATGACATTAGTCTTTATACTCATATAAGTAGGTATTATGCACAAATAAACATTTTTAAAGGAAATTATTGAATAAGGCACACTAAAAGATCAACATAAATTACGATGATAAAATATCATGATATAAAGTAGATTAAGGTATTGCGATGGATAATAAACTATGTTATAATATATTATATATTATATATTTACTCATAGGAAAACTAAAATTCAAAATATTAGTAAAGGATGCTTCCGTCATCGTAATATGTATACAGTGAATATATTTTGTTATGTTGGTCATCACTCATTGAAGCCATGTTTACTCAGGAGAGAAAAAATGTCTCATAGTTTTTAAACAATTATTTTTATTAATTTTAAAAGGTAATTTATAAATACAAAATTATAAGTACGTAATATCTGTTCATCAATTTTAATTTGACTTTGAATATAGTTCTTTATTCATAAATAATTATAGCCCCGTATTAAACGAAGGTTAAGTTAATTCAAAATTCAAAATTCGGAAGAAGATTTTGTTATTTACGGGATTAAAGATATGTAAATGTAGAAATAAATAAGTAGTGACTTTATACTTATAGTCAGTTTTTAATTTTATTGCGCCATATTTATAATGACGTTTGCTTTGATAGTTCTTATGTGCTTAAAATAATAAATGTAGATTAGAATTATTTTTTTTTATCGTAAAAGTTGTTAGAGAAGTTTAGGTTAATATATAAACATTTTAAATCTTGATTCTTTGTATCGATTTATAAATGTATCTAATTCTATGTAAATGAAGAAAAAATACTGTAGAAAGAAAATATAAGATTGATGCTCGTTGGTATAAAATTCTAAATTTTTTTAATCTTGTTGCTATAAGTATATTCTATTGCATCAAGATGGGTAGATAATTTTTGAACTGTGTTTCATGATTTAAAAAGTCTTGGAAACTAACGATAAAGTTTGAATTAAAACATTACAGTCGTTAAAATACGATAAAATTATTTTTTTTATTATAGTCATCAATTACTTTTTTCTGTAAATGTTTGAAAATGGAAAATCTCATAATTCACAAAAAACCAACAATTTATTTTTAAACAGTTATCACAAAAACTGATGTGACAAACTAATAAGACCAGATTAATGCATCGACTTAAATTGTATTAACCAAAAGTTCTAGCTTATTACCTAGTATAATGATCATGATCATGTATTTATTTTTAGATACCAAACGAACTCTAAAAGCAATTTATTTTACGTTTAAACGTTTATTATTATTATTATTAATTTGATATGTATGTAAGAAATACCTTTCATGTCTTTGTTTATTCAAAATGTAGGAAATTAGTAATGAATTGTTATTAAAGAATTCTTGGAATTTTGATAATACGGTACGCAGAGGTATTCATAATTTCCATCGGTAAGTTTCAGAAAATTTGTCAGTTTATTTAAAATAATATAACGTTTTGTTAGTTATTACTATTATTAATTTTTAAATAGGTGTACTATTTGAGTATTTTTTAAAACTTTTATATGGATTGGAAATAAGATGCAAAATTGAAAAAACAGGTAATAATAAGGAATTTTATAAGCTGAATAATTAGATTTTATTTTTATTCATATTATATTCAATGTTTATAGTTGTTTGAGGACGGTATATTTTTTGAACGGGTGTGTGCATAGCATATTGGTTTTTCAATGTAAAATAGTATCAATGGTTGACATATAATTATTATTTTTCATGTATTCTTGGACAATTTAAAAAATATCTATATGTATGGGGTATTTTACTAGATGGTATATCTATAAAAAATGTTTTATATTAAATATTTTTGGAAATTATTTCCTCATTTGTAGTTTTACAACGATGCATTATTATATTTATAATATTTTTTGTAAGTTTATGAGTTTATCTAAATCTATATACATTTATCATAAGTCAATAGAAATGATTAATGTTATTACGAACAATATTTAATCTTATATTAAAAGTTAAATTAATAATTTAAATAGTTGTTAATGTTTAAAATATTAAGCTGGAGATGGATTAAATGAGTATATGTAGTTGACTGATAGTATGTACGCACGAAGATGAACACCATGAACACCCTGTAAATGACGCATACTTAGATTTGACGAGACTTATTCAAAATATTTTGTTGCCGATACAATCAAATATTCTTGAGTAATCATATCCAGTATAGCGTCACTATTTTCATCTATCATGATTGATTATAGTGATTATAGGTATATAAATATAGATTTCAATCAAACATAGATATTCGATATAATGTATTAGATAATATGAGTGAAAATAGTCAAATAAATTAAGCGTAAACATTCAATTCAATATTAATCAATATAAAAATTAATTAAAGAATTGACAATAGGTAATAATATTACTACCAGAATTTTTCGATTTGAAAATGCATATAAAAGGTATTGTGCTTGTATAAAAAGAAAATTCCGTTATAAAAAATGTACACGTTTTCACCGCATTCACCCATTCAGGGATAAATTATAATTATGTAGGTGTGGTAGATTATTTTTCGTACGTATAAAATATAAAAAGAATTTTAATTGGTATTAATGTAGGTTTGGCCATATATGTAATATAAAAAAATCATTAAGCAAGACTACTTTAAACTAAATATTACTGTAATATTTTTCTCAAAGAAAAAAAAAGGTTACGAAAAATTACAGAATACAAGATTATATTATTATGTTTAGCGTTTGTCTCATTTTGGTTTTTTCAGAGCAAACTATCACAATATACATACTATTATACATTATATTTTTATTTTTATTTATCGTTGTTTATTAAACGTTACACAATAATTGGGATCATAATATAAGATGTGTATAAGTTTACATAAAAACAGTTATTCTTTATTAATTTTATATCGAATAACTATTGTAAGTTGTAATGTTTATTTCACTAATAAATGACTGAGAAATTCGAGAATTTGTTAATTAAAAACACGTCAAGAATGCGAAATTAAAAATAGATGTTCAGTAAATGTAATAAATAAATACCCCAAGTTGCTTTTCGCTGAAAAAAATAAAGAAAAAAAATACATAATTATTTAAACTGATAGAGCTGCATTCAGTCTTAGACATAGACCAGAATTTAAATAATAAAAAAAAAAAGTATAACGATTATCACCATTGTCACGCGTCGTCATTGTACGATGGAATGTAATAGAAATTTGCAAATGTGGTTGTGTACATAATATAATATAATATAAATGTATCGTGTATAATATATAATGATGTACATGCATGCAGTTTCTTTCGCAACCATATTATATGACATACAGCATAATAAATACTCTACAGGGATTTCCACTCGGGTATTAAAACAGGGGTTTCTACTTAAATTTCTCAAAGTAGATAGGAAATAAATTATGAAAAACACTATGGCAAAATCAAACAGTATTATAATATTATGTTCGAGCGCTTGTGTATTTTTATTTCGCGTTTTGCAAACAAATGATTTGATGACAATACATACCTAATATTATTATAGCTTCGAGCATACTAACTGTGAACAGAATAAAAATCCCATCGCAGTATTATTGCAATATTGTTTTATATAGGTGTTTGGTAGTGTTTGGTGTTTTACATATTACCATAGTAATGTATAGTTATTAATTATAACGCGGAGAGCAGTTCGTTTATCG